ATGTCATTTGATTTATTTTATAACAATTACAAGAATATTTAAAAAAGGAAAAAGAATGCGAATTCATATGCTAATATAGCTATATATATCGGGGTGCCCAGTTTAAAAAAGGCCTCTAGCACTACAAACCAGTAAAAGTCTGAAATGGCCTATATCTGTACTCGACTGTACTGATTTTTACTCGACCAGTCTGAATTGGTCTTAATTTTACTCGACATTACTCGACCCCAGTCTTAACCATACTCGACTGTACTGATTTGTACTTGACCCTTATCTTTGCCATTGAAAATAGTCTGAACTATTACTCGACCAGTCTGAAACAGTCTTAACCCATTCTCGACCTGTACTCGACCTATTTTTTCAGTCTAAACCATACTCGACCAAAGGTCTGAACAATACTCGACCAGTCTGAACCATACTTGGACAAATAACCTCTACTTTTTCTAAATTTTAACTGTTAAAATAAATTTCTTTTTAACTGACATGACAACAACCACAATAAAATAAAGATATACTATAAAAACAGATTTTTACATTCTTACATGATTCTCAGATTTATCGAATAGAGATAGTTAAATCAAATTATCTTATATAATAATTTAATTATGTTAAGTTTAAAGTTTTAGTGTTTTGTTAAAAAAAGATTTTCTTTTACCTAAAAACCACACCTACACTGATGGTAATTAAACCTTATTAAGGTGCTTCTTGTTTGGCATGTGTTTTGTTTTTAAATTAATTTTCCTAAATTCCTAAATAAAAACTACATAGGTTTCATGGTTACATACAAAAAATGTACAATAGTTATATAATTATCTTTTTATTGAGGTAACTACAGCCAACAAAATCACTGAAATTGTTTAACCTTATTTTAGAAATATATCTATTATTATAATTTGGGATATATTATATACAATATATATCAAAAGATAAAAATTAAAGAAATTAATAAAATTGTTCTTCTGATAAGTGGTGAAGTATAAAGTAATACCTCCTGCTTGGGGCAAACTCATGAAAAAGATCACACCTGGTCAGAGAGTATTAAATTCTAAATAACATTCGTTCAAAATTGCAACATCCTGTGAAACTTAAATCGCAAGGCCTTTTGAATTCACTAGATAAGTTATACACGAGTTTAAGAAAAATAGGGCTTTCTTTTTACCTGTAAAACACACATGTACTAAGGTAATTAAACCTTATTAAAGTGCTTCTTGTATGCCATGGTTTAATTTTGACAAAAATTATTTAAATTTAATTGAAATAAATTTTTACTGTAACTTTGGAACACATTTCCTTTTTTAAAAGTTTTATCACAGGATTACTATGGAAGTTCTATTATCATGATTATATTAAATTCTTGGTTAAACAAAACAAAGGTGTCATTTTTTAAATTTATTAAGTTGCTTTATATGCTATTTTATATATATTTTAATAAAAAAATGTTCACTGCATTATTAACCAAACTCAACTGACACCATAAATCTATACGAGGCTAAAGGTAATGGTGAAAATTGTCCAGTAACCATAAAATATATCTGAAACATTCCAAAAATTTTGAATAACATTGAAAATATTTGTCAGAATTCAGTTTTGAGATTATTTGATCAGCTTGTTTTATTTTTATTTTAAAGGTGATATATATGTATGTATATAAGTGTTGATGAATATGGGGATGAAGTTATATTATGTTTATTGTGAAATTTTGTTTTCAATGCTATATTGAATACATTTTTAATTTCAAATTGTTGTTCAAATTTCTAGCCAGGGGAAATAGCTGTTGTTAAAAACAGTTCCTAAATTGATGAAATACAATAGATAGATACAAAAAAATAGGTCTAGGTTGGTTAAGACTTGGTCGAGTATGGTTCAGACTAGGTCGAGCATGGTTCAGAATAGGTCGAGCATGGTTCAGACGCGTATAAAATGGTTAAGTACTGGTCGAGTAAGGGTCGAGTACAAGTTCAGACTGTTAAGTATGGTTCAGACTACAGTCGAGTATTATCAAGTAAATTTCAGACCAATTCAGACTGGTCGAGTAAAAATCAGTACAGTCGAGTACAGATATAGGCCATTTCAGACTTTTACTGGTTTGTAGTGTAGTTAACGAGTTTAAGCAAACGGAATAACAAATGGCTACCTTTATTTGCAAATTATAGGAAAATCATTATATTTTACAATAATAATGATTGTTGTCGTAACTTCCCATGGTCTCGATTTTCTAAATTTTATTTTACAGGGTACCCCCAGATACCGTATTGTACGAGAAATCTTTAACATGAAAAATAAAATTTGTTGCGCATTTTTTCGGTGGTTGAAATAGTACTTTGAAAATAGTTTTATATATCAAATATATAATTTAACAAAAGAGGAAAATATTCAAGTAAGTTTAGTTTAAGTATTTCAGAATTTTATTAAGACTGACATTTTACAAGAAATTTAACACATTTTCATCGAATCTGCAAGCAATATTACTACATGTACCACCACCAGATTTTTCATTCTGATTAAAGTTAGAACACACAGTTCCCGTGTGTGCCACATTTTATGTGTGTAATATTTGTCGTTGTGAAGAAATTAGCAATTAAAAACATTCATTTAGTCAATATTTGTGCATTGGTTCAACACGGATGATCTCGTGTAATTAATCATTCTGTTGCTTCCACTATTTTAAAGTCGTTATCTAGGACAGTTGTCACTCAATGCATTTCTCAATTTTGCTCATTGTATCGTTGATTTATTTGTTCTAAATGGTCAGTATAAATGTTTTGTTCGGAGGAATGTTTTTTGTGCCGATTTTTTCAAAATTTTAAACATTCTATTAAATTGATTGTTTTGTTACATTTGTACTAGAAATCAAATTGGTCGGTCTTGTTTAAGACCTGGACTATGCCACAATTGGAATAAGAAAACGAGAGGCAAAAGCAAACATAGCATTATAGAAACTAACTATGGAAGCCCGAAAAGATCTAGTCCATGTTAGGGTCTTACATTTTGATGTCGATCTAAATCACCATTGATGTGATGATTACAAATCAGATATAACAGACAGCAACCACTGAAATACAGGGTCCCAAATTTAGACAGACGCATACACAATGAGACTTGGTCAAACATGTTTGTGAGCATTAAACCCCTCATTAACTAGGACAATGGTGTAGCAACACAACAAAAGACCAAGCTGTAAAAAACAATTAGAAATGGCTTGACTAATCAAATTTGCATGTAGCACAAACGCAACTAATATAAAGACAAGAAACACAAAGTACTGATCTAAAAGTACTCGCGGTTACTGAAAGCTAGTAAACAGACGTCATCAACAGTCTGAGAAAAGCATGACCTTGTGCAATATCAACATGTTAGTACATGACATCGTCAGGATCAAGGACCATAACCTATCATAAAATTAAAGCAATATCTAGTTATATTCTATTTTTTCACACACAAAAAAAACAACAAAATCGATACTAGTACAAATAAAATCATGTCCAATATCGTAAAACAGTGTTAAAATGATATCTTTTAAGAATAAGTTTAATCAAAGGATCTTTACGTTTACATGTATCGTATTATAATGTACGTGCTTTATAAACATCATTACCGTAAAATTTAGGATGTGATATCCCGATATTTATTAGAATTCTACAGATACAGCCGAACTTCAAAACAAAATGTCTGAATATTTGAATGAATATAGTAAACGTTTTAAGTAATTTATGGCTTAATAGTTTACCAGTTATACATATATTTCGTCAATTCAAATCGGAAACAACGTCAATACAGAATGCATAGCTAATGATCTGGGAAATATACACACCATAAGACGGGTGCAAAGGAACATCATGTTCATGTTATGCAAATGATATATGTCAAATTTTTCATTGTCATCTGCAAGAAATACTGACGATAATGAAGATGACGACGTATAAGCTTTTATTTTGCTGTAAGTTCCTTAAAAAGTATCAATAGCAGCTGAATGGAAAGTTAGCTGCAGTCCATAATAATTTAAATAGTGTTTTCCGAATTGCCAACAATATACATTTATATCTATTACATGGTTAGAAATGTCTAGTGATGATAGATCTAGGTTAAAAAAATACAGGGGAAAAAAGAGTGCACACGCAGAAATGTCCAGCCTCCTTTACTGATCATGACTGAACTTATGTTGAAAGTCTTTAGGAAAAAGGTTATGTAACAAGTATTACATAATTATGAACTCCTTTAACGGTTAAAACTGTGCCATTTGTACGTTGAAGTTTGGTAAAAAATTATATCTGGGAATGAAAGTTTACATGAAGTACTATTTATGCAAAGGTCAGTTGATGTGCGGAATATTTTTAACATTTATATGCCTCGAAGTTTTAGGAGTTTAAATTTATACTGAAGTTTTGTACTTCCCCTCTGTACTTTGAGTCTTTCTGAGAATTCAATTTGACTGTAATCCAACTGTATTTATACTGGAAACATTTCGCAGTTGTGTCTATATCATATAGAACATGGAACCAGTAGGCAAACAAAACAAAATATCTATGAATATTAAGTATCTCCTCGAAGCGGAATGGTTTGTAAAACAGCTGTATTTACAAAGTGCAACCTCTACTAAATTATGTGCTACTGGATATTAATCTTTAGTAAAGAAGGAAAACATGGTGGATTGACCGATTGATTGGTTACGTCTATAATACATGTATGTCGAGACAGAAATATGCTCATGTAATAAAACTATATTTTATCTTCATACAACAGGGACACGCTTTTCAAATGTTAAACGTGCTAGCTCGCAGTATTTAACCAGCCGTCGATTGTTTAATCCAAAATAGATTGGTCGCCGTGATACATAGAAATTACTTCAAACCAACAACAACTTTAAAATAAAATTCTGTATCCTTCTGGAATTTCAATCATTGCTAGATTACTATTTAGTGTTAGTTAAAGTAAGTTTTACAGTTTTGCCTAACCCTTTTAATAGAAGTTTGCCTAATGTTTGATTTCTTCATTGATAACAGGAGATAGCATGATATACAATAATGGTCAAGCGTTTACTACCAAAGACAAGGACAACGATCCATGGATACACGCTAATAAAAAAAATAATTGTGGAATATATAAACATGGTGCTTGGTGGTATAAAAAATGTACATATTCTAACTTGAATGGGTTATATGTGGTAGGAGGAAAGAATAGTGGTGAAGGAATGTATTGGTATCATTGGAAGAATAACGCCTATTCAATGAAGTCTTCTGCAATGATGATTAGGAGATTGTAATAGCATAAGCAAGTCAATTAATATTACTGCTACAATAGAAGTTTCATTTGAAAGATTTCATATTGCATTGTATGATATTATTTGTTTCTAAGCAGGATATCAATGGAAGCTTTTTGCATCTTGAGAATGAATTTGTCTATTTTGACGATCTTAATTTTAGTATAAAACTTGCTGTGAAAATTCCCCATCGTCTCGCTTTATTTTTTTTCTATATATAAGGCAGTGAAGTACCAGTTGCTGCCATCGTTACAATAGAAATACACAAATAGACGACCAATTCTGAAGTCAAAATGGTCTAAATAGTTAAAATCATTGAGCTTGGGTGTGCTATTGGGGAAAAAGACATTTGCCCTTGATGTCAGTATTTTGTTCCAAAAAGCTCGACAATAATTATTATATCTCATTACAGAAAAAAAATATAATCTATTTTACATGTATTTGTCATGGCTCAATCTGAATATGATTCTTATAAAAAGAACCCCACCATTCTCCATTTGATATAAATAAAAAATGGCATAAAAACTACATATTCCAGAGCCAGTTCAATGTGTATAGTATTAATTTCATAAAGACCGCGCTCTCCAGGGACCACACACAAAATCAAACACAATCTGATAATTTGTTTTTGGCTCCGTGGTGAAGGCCTCTGTGTGATTTTGAGATGAAGAACAGGAATAAAAGTGCTGTTCCTATGTTTTTTTGGTGTTTTTTTCTGATTATGTACTGATTTTGTGTCATGGATGGATACCCCATATCCTTTGTTTTTCTATTATATTAACGGAATTTGTTATTCATTCTTGACATAATTTCTCTTAAATGTGCCACATCATTCTCTCAATTTTTGGCCGTTTTGTGAATTAAAATTTGGATAGGACGCATACCACCTATTCTTGGCCCCCATTCCTATCCACGTTTTTAAAATTATTTTCATTTAAATTTCACACATTTATGGAGAGCGGGATAAATATACCGTTATTAACACATCAGAGCGTACTGATTAGCGGAACTTTGGATACACCATTCAAGGTACTTCATATCTGAATAACAGGCAATATATGCCCTCAATTTATAAATCATTTGTACATTTTTGTATTATTCAAAATTATCCTACAAGGATTACCAGTCCTTCACCTTTCATTTGGCACCTAAATTGGCAAAACATATTCTACATATAAAAAAGAAGATGTGGTATGGTTGCCAATGAGACAACTCTCTCCACAAGAGGCCAAATGACACAGAAAATATCAACTTTAGGTCACCGTACGGCCTTCAACAACGAGCAAAGCCCATACCGCATAGTCAGATATATAAAGGCCCCGAAATGACAAATGTAAAACAATTCAACCGAGAAAACTAACGGCCTAATTTATGTACAAAAAATGAACGAAAAACAAATATGTTACACAGCAACAAACGACAATAACTGGATTACAGACTCCTGACTACGGACAGGCACATACAGAATGTGGCGGGGTTAAACTGTTCAGAAGAATTCAAATTTTAAATTTGATGTTTGTATAGGTTGTAGCTCAGATGATTATAGACACGTTGTTTACATTTTAATGAAGATGACGCCCGGCATTCCTCACAAAAATAAACGTAGCGAAGTAACCCGATGTTGGTCGATAGATACACATGATAACCATAAGCATTGCGCGACTAATAACATAACGGAATAGAAATACGGTAAAAATCTTTTTCTTCCTCTAATTGTTTTAAGAAATAGAATTCAAAATAGTCTAATTTCGTGTTACGATGAAATAGTGCAAACTTTTAGAAATCAATTTAATGTTAGGTTGATTGTACGTGTTTAATGCCACTTTCAACAAATATGGCTATATCATGGCTGCCGGTTTTTTTTATTTGTTGAGGAAGCTGAAGAAGAGGCATGAGCGAAGGACCGACCTTCGGCAAGAGCGTTTGTCCCTTTCTTATGACTAATATTGGAGTCGAACACACTTTGTCACTCTCACAACCCTTTGTAAATTTTATGCGTTTTTTTATTAACCTTGAAAAAGAACGCTAAAATCAAGACATTTGAATCATCTCAAAAGAGACATAAACAGAATAGCCAAATGTTTCTAAGGAAGTTGTAGCCATAGTGTTCTTGTAAATTCTAAATTTATTATAGGTGAATTTCTGAAACGTATGTTATAAATCATGTCAATTGGATGATTTCAAATAAGTTTGCACTTTTTGTTGTAGTGTCACATTTGAACTGACATGGTCGTCCATGTTAGACGTGAAATATGTTTTTTTGTTGTTTCTTCCTCGGTATGTTTCAGTTCTGATAAGGAGGATAGTATGATATTTAATGTATTTTACACCAATATGGTTCATGAAATTCTGGAATTCTTGTGATGTAAAGATGTAAAGTGTAGATCATGGTCTGTTTGTATTCCGTTTTCACGAAATATAGTAAGTAATACATCAATGCTTTGTATTGTTGTTGACATGTGAATTACCTTGAGCCATTTTCACATCGCAATCATATCGATTAAAACATCAACTTTACGATCTTGTATTCTTCCTATCGACAAAATTCCTTTCGCATACTGGAAATTAGGAGCTTGAGGTCTCTTTCAAAATTTCCTTCCGTATAGTTAAGCACGACATTTCTTTATTCCTAGAATGAATCTTAATGCTTGTTTTTCGATTTCCGAGTAATGTTTATAAACAGAACCTTTTCGGTAAGCAAATGTATCACAAGCTAGTTAACAAGTCATGGAAAGGGGGTGGGGTAATGGGGGTTCTCCCGAACATATCTAACCCCGACAAATTCGTTAAATGCCTGTCAAGTCAGAAGTCTGGTGTTCAGTGGTTATAGATGGTCTACCATAGTGGATTTTCGATAATTGGTTTACCACACAACAGCTTGTTTTTTTCTCTTTTGTGATGAGGCGAAGGTTATCTTTCTTTTTTGAAAGAATGATTCAATTGTAAGCTTGTATCGCACATATTCCTGTCAGACTGTATACAAATGGATTGCTAAGCTTAATGAGGAAAAAATATTTAATAAAGAATTTCAACAAGCAAGACGAATCTTTTGGCTGGATTGCCTAAGTGAAATTTTTTATACTTCTGTTGATGTTCTTTTTTGCCGACTTTCTTCACTTTGATAAAATGGGCATTGTATGTTCTACATCTTTTTGTGAGTTTGAACCTATAAGTAGAAAGGCAAGGCCACTAATGGTCCACAGTGGTAATAGTGTAATAATGTGAGGGTCGATTATTTCACCTCAATTAACACATCCCTAAACATTTCCGTAAATAAAACTTTTATGTACACATAGACATGTAGACACAAAAGACTGTACGTGCAGACAACAAAGTCTTTACGTGCATGCATGGTCAGGGACATTGATCGATATATCTTGGACTTATTTTGCGATTTAAGAAACATTAGTTGTTCACCAATGTCGCTGTTAAAGTGGACAGTTAAAAGGGATCTCATAAACAGTATCCCTCCAAAATTTCATTTCGATTAAATGAATAAATAGAACCTGCTCTTACTATTTTGTTTTTCTACAAAAAAATCTTCTCAGTCCCCCCACCAAAAAAGTAATTAAATACTCGTTTGGTTCCAACGGGGCTGTACATAGTTTTAAGTCCATTTGTGGGTTATAAAACGTGAATGAAAATGTTTTGAGTAAACATGCTGGTGGTTGGAACATATATTTCAAAAATATATCATAAAGAACCTTTGATACATGTTTATATTGCCGGGTCAATTTCTCAGTATTGGCTGTTCTTAATGTCTTCAGTTCTACTTGCCAATGTAAATCATATATCATTATACAACTGTTACTCTTGTTGTTCGTGTCTCGTGCCATAATCATTTCAGGTTAAGAGTTTGTGTAAATAAATTTGACTAAATAAAGTGAGTGATTTAATAATGCCTTGTATGTATTTAATTTCGATGTTTGGGGAAATAAATTTCAATCGAGTTTGGAGAAAACAGATTTATGTATTGTGTAACAAATGAATGGTTAGATTTAACAATTAACTTTTTTTATGCGTATGAGTGGGTCGATTTATTTAAAACTGTTTGATCAATTTTTTTTGGGATATGTTGAACTAAGCTTTAAATTTTGACAATTTTCTGGTTTTATGTTACAGAGTTACAGGACTAAACCTTCAGATTGAAGAACATTTTTCACATGTCAGGCACCAACTTGAGTATACCTGGATCGATTAACTTCTAACTATACACTGTTGGGATTGGTTAAAATTATTCCATTTCAATTTAAAAATCTAAATTTGCTTATTTAATTAAGGATTATATTTACAAAATTTCAGTCAATATCTATCTGTCAAAGAAGGGATACAGTGTGGTTTACTGCTGACCATCGGCATAAAAAAATACACGCATATTTATAATGCCTTCTTTTGGTGATTTTCTTTAAGAGTTTTTCTTCTTTTAATCTGCTTGAGATTCATTATATATAATTTATTCCAATATTAACTGTTTTTCTAAAAGAACATATATGTACACATTGTACATGTATATAACTATATATAACTAGCACAGATATACACGTTTCTTCATTGTTTTAAACCTTGATAGACAGTTTTGTAGTTCGTTGCTTCATAGGATAAAATCTACTATTACACACACCTATGTTCGGGGTAGATAAAATTAATATTGTCTGGGTTTGTTTCCTCAAAGAACTTTAATAATTCTTTAAGAATTATCCGAGTATCGAAAACACTGAATACAAAGCTGATCATACTGTCGGAGACTAACAGACACCCACAGTGGTATCCACCTAGTGCTAGTAAATGAAAATAATGCTTATAAATTTCGTACGTCCGAAGTGACTTTCTAGATTTAATTTCATCAGAAACGCTGAAATAAATACATATGCAAGTTGGAAATGTATTAATTGATAGAAACGTTATGAGCTATATTACCAACATGAACCTATAAAGAATAGTCTAAAACAGATCTGCTTTGCCTGAGAGTGTATCATCTTCATAACATCCTCGTCGAATTCTAGATATGACAATATGAAGCAATAATAAGCAATGTTATAACCAAAGAGGCAACTATCAACTAGATGTCTACTTTACTTCGTCTGACCTCTAGACGTTTGTTTTTTGTGACTTCTAGATAACTTATTTGAAAAGAAATAACACCAAGATGGCATATGGAATCGGATTGTATTAAGTT